TAACTGGTCACAATTCTGAGGGCTATCTGGAGAGATGCGTGATCTCAAGTTCCACCCCCAGGGAGCAGCCTACCCAGACTACTCACACACTAACACACATGTCATTGGCAGGACATGAGGAGGAGGAGTGGGCTATGAGGGGAGGAGTCTAAGCAGCATGTAAAGCCTCATTCTCAGGGATGAGTATAAATCTGTGCTCCTTGTTTATGGGAATGTACAGGTGTTCCATGCATCCCCGTGCAGGCAGTCCCAATGCCCCCCCCCTTCCGGGAACGAGTACTAAGTGGGAAAACAGGAGAAAGTTTTTTGTCCCTTTTGAATCACTAAGGGCTCAATCGCTCCTGCCTACATGGTAAAATTGGGCATTTTAGCATGCGGGCTGCATACAGCTGGTGAGGGAGCAGTGCTTTGTGTTTTTAAAATGCATGGCACTGTTCATTTTAAACTTTTTTGACATGTCAACATTTTTTGACATTTCATTTATCTCTATGCATGCAGCTCTTCTGCGGTGGGATATGACGCGATGAACTGCAGTGATGTGAAATATGGGACAGGGGTGAATACATTGGGGTACACAGTTTATAGGACAAGGGGTGAATACATTGGGGTACACAGTATATAGGACAAGGGATGAATACATTGGGGTACACAGTATATAGGGTGGGGTGAATACATTTTCGATACATACAGTATGTGTGTAGCCAGCTTTATGGTGTGAAGGGGACAATTGTTTTCTATAGTCACTTGTGTTGAGCCGGCACTGATCTGTATAAAGCAGAATAGCTTTTGGGGCTCGATTCACTAAAGGAAACCACATGCAATATTTGGATCATTCGACTCATTTGATGAAAATATTGCATGTGACATTGATAAATTTGTCATCAGTTTATGTGGTGTTTACTACAAAAAATACTGCAGGAAGCTCCTAGCATCATGGGATAAAGTACTACATGGACTTTGTCCTATGGTGGGACAGAAACAGTTCCAGACAAAAAAATAAACTAATTTCGGGATGGGACCCCCTTGATGTTTAGGTTCCATCTCTACCTACTGAACATTGTACAGGGAGATGAACTGGGCACCCTAGACTGATGGTTCAGGGACAATCCGATCACCTTAGGGGGTAAGGAAGGACATTTTTCCCCTTTGAAGACCACCTGACTAAGGGGTGGTTTGCCTTCCACTGGATCATTGGAAGGTTTAGGGGTCTTAAAAAAGCCTTATCTCTGAGGAGTCAGAGGATACCACTGACCAAATGTCCATTTATATACCATATACTGCCCATATCTATACCGAATACTGTCCATTTCCAAACTGAATATTGTCCATATCAATACTGTATACTGTCCATTTCTATACCAAATAATGTCCATTTCCATATTGAGTATTGTCAATTTCTGGATGGAACCCCTTGATGTTTAGGTTCCATCTCTACCTTGTGAGCATTGTACAGGGAGATTAACTAGGTACCCTGGACTGATGATTCAGGGACAATCCGATCCCCTTGGGAGGTCAGGAAGGAATTTTTGATGAAGGGGGGGGGGGGGGAGATTTGCCTTCCCCTGGATCTTCTGAATGTTTAAGGGCCTGAAAAGACATCACCTCTGAGAAGTCAGAGGAAAACAGTGACAGATCTCTGATGCCCATCAAATCCTCAGGATAATTTCCTTCTATGGATTTAATGTTTATTTAAAAATTAGCTGTACACTAATGTATGTTTCACAAAATTATACCATAATAAAAACAAAAAACAAACAAACAAAGCCTAATGGATAAGGCACTGGACTTCTAAGCTAGAGATTGTGGGTTTGAATCCCACCTGGGGTGCTTAAATCTTTTCTGAACATAGAATACAGACAGAGAACTGATACGCCTTAGCACAATTTTGCAACTTTGACATGTTAGCAAAACCATACATATCATCACAACTACTTTGTGTATGCAGGTGGATTATACCACGTTTCTTGCAGGACAAATTGGGCTTTCATTTGGTTGTAAATGGTAATGGATATCTCCTGTTTTTTTTTTTCATTACCAAGGGAAAACTGGTGCAAAATAGTAAAAAATAAACATTTTTTTTTTATTTACTGTATATTTCTTGCTACTACCATAACCTACCACCAAAGAACAACCCAAAGTAACTTCTCCTGCTCCTCATGATCGCAGCGATACCACATGTGTGTATCTTAGTTGTTTGTACCCGTAGTACAGCCTAGAAATAATAGTGCACAATTTTTTTTTTTTTTTATATCCTGCCACAAACTGATACTAATTTAAACATTTAAAAAAAAAACTCCTGAGCAAAGAAACAAAAAACAGACCCTGAGCTTTGACCCTAACACTGACTCAAACACTAATCTTGGCACAGACCTAGATCAAACCTTGATCTAGGTATTTTTGTTTATTTTATTATTTTTATTTATTTTCTACACATACTTGTTTTTTATTCTCTCTGAAAGGACAAAGAGATGTATCTCTTTCCTCCATTCAGAGAGAGAAAACAAGAGGGGCAGGTGTCACAGTGAATGATCACTGTGACAGCCAATCAGAGGCTATCACAGCGATCAGATGACTCAGAATCAGGAGTTCCGGGTCCTGACCATTAGAACGGGACCCAAGGCTCTCAGTGACACCACGGTCTTGGTGCTGGGAGCATGCCATGCAGCGCGTTCCCAGCACAAAGACAGGTACGCAAATTAGCGGTCCTACAGAAAAAAGCCCAGTTCTGTGAGGCTGCTAATTTGCGTATGGTCAGTGTCAAGGGGTTGAAGAACAACTTCATTAAATAGTCAGCAACCATAAAGACAATGAACACCTTGGTCAGATGTATGTCATTATAATTGACTTCTAGAAGTTAGGAGTATATATTATGTACAGTTCATAGATCAGGAGTATATAATGTACATGCTGTAGAAGTCAGGACTATATAATGTACAGAATGCAGGGATCGAGAGTATATAATGTACATGGTGTAGATGTCAGGAGTATATGATGTATAGGGTGCTGGGATCAGAAGTATATAGTGTACATGGTGTAGAAGTCAGAAGTATATAGTGTACATGGTGTAGAAGTCAGGAGTATATAATGTATAGAGTGCAGGGATCAGGAGTATATAATTTACATGGTGTAGAAGTCAGAAGTATATGACATACAGAGATCTTCTTGTGCTAACCTGACACCAGCACTCCCAAGTTCAATGCCGCAGTTCCAACATCCTGGCACCTCTGCCCTTCCATAGCCCTAGCAGTCACTATCTGCACTTCCATGGGTGTTTGGTGTTCCACTAAGCCCTACTAGATAGCAGAAGCAAAAATGTGGTGAGAACAGAAATATTTGCAGCCAATTATATTGCAAGGAGCTTGCAACATCGCTATTGTGCGATGCTTGAAGTGTCTTCATAATGTACCATATGACAGTCGGCGCTCTTCTAAATCACTTTTAAACTGAATGCCAGTCAAACTGCTAAATAAAAATACTGTACATATATGGGAGATTTTCTACCTGCCAAAAAGATTTATAGATTTGTGCGTCAAGTCCTGAGATTTACATGTCGCATGGTACAGCCAGGGGATAACAGCACTTTCTCAGTTACAGTAAAGCAACTGGGGAAATCTCTTTACCACCAGTCTGTTGACTGGACAGTGCAGGAGTATAAGGGAGCTGATAAGGTCATCCCTTTGCTCACTCTGCGGTCTCTCTCTCTCTTCTTAGTATGTTTCCTGTCAACACAATTACATGAGGCTCACCTGATTGCCTTCTAGCTCTGTCACTCCTTATTTAACAAATAATGTTAGATTTTGTGTTACATTTAGTTATTTATTGACAGGTTCATATTGATTTGTGGATGCAGTCCAATGATTAACACAAACGCACAAGTAGTATAGTAATATAAGAGATTTACTTAGCTTCATTTAAAGATGGAGAACAGATGATAAAATAAGATAACTTTAGTTTTGGTTCAAACCAGGGAAGCCCTGAACCTCTGCAAACATACGGTCCTGGTAATGACAATTGCTTCCTTTTCTAGGCACATTCACGTTTTTGTCCTAGTAAGGGCTCTGAAGAATGCCTTTGTGTCATATATATATATATATATATATATATATATATATATATATATATATATATATAGAGAAAGAGGGCTCAAATAAACTGGTTTTAGCCAGTTCTAACAAATGAATGCGTATAACGGTTTGGAGACACTGAAAATGAACCATCTGTGCATTTATGGTCAGCTCACAAAGATCAATATATGCAAAGAAAGAAGTAATGACTGTGACATTCAATTTGTGATAGCCAGCTATATATATATATATATATATACACTATATTACCAAAAGTATTGGGCGCCTGCTTTTACACGCACATGAACTTTAATGGCATCCCAGTCTTAGTCCATAGGGTTCAATATTGAGTTGGCCCACCCTTTGCAGCTATAACAGCTTCAGCTTTTCTAGGAAGGCTGTCCACAAGGTTTAGGAGTGTGTCTATGGGAATGTTTGACCACCAGAAGCGCATTTGTGGTCAGGCACTGATGTCAGACGAGAAGGCCTGACTCAAAGTCTGCGCTCTAACTCATCCCAAAGGTGTTCTATCGGTTTGAGGTCAGGATTCTGTGCAGGCCAGTCAAGTTACTCCACTTCAAACTCGCCCATTCATGTGTTTATGGACCTTGCTTTGTGCACTGGTGCGCAGTCATATTGGAACAGGAAGGGGCCATCCCCAAACTGTTCCCACAAAGTTGGAAGCATGAAATTGTCCAAAATGTCTTGGTATGCTGACGCCTTAAGAGTTCCCTTCACTGGAACTAAGAGGCCAAGCCAACCCCTGAAAAAAAAAAACCCCACACAATAATCCCCCCTCCACCAAACTTTACGCTTGGCACAATGCAGGCAGACAATTACCAATTTCCTGGCAACCGCCAAACCCAGGGACACGTCCATCGGATTGCCAGACAGAGAAGCGTGATTCATCACTCCAGAGAACACATCTCCACTGCTCTAGAGTCCAGTGGTTGCGTGCTTTACACCACTGCATCCGACGCTTTGCATTGCACTTGGTCATGTAAGGCTTGGATGCAGCTGCTCGACCTTGGAAACCCATTCCATGAAGCTCTCTACGCACTACTGTTCTGCTAATCTGAAGGCCACATTCTGAAGTGGTACTTAGCTATTGGTTCTGCAGACAGTTGGCGACTTCTGGGCAATGTGCGTTTCAGCATGCGCTGACTCCGCTCTGTCACTTTACATGGCCTACTACTTTGTGGCTGAGCTGCTGTTGTTCCCATTTGCTTCCATTTTGTTACAATACTACTAACAGTTGACCGTGGAATATTTAGTAGCAAGGAAATTTCACGGATGGACTTATTGCACAGGGTGCAACCTATCACTGTACCACGCTTGAATTCACTGAGCTCCTGAGAGCGACCCATTCTTTCACTTATGTTTGTAGAAGCAGTCTGCATGTCTAGGTGCTTATTTTTATACAGCTGTGGCCATGGAGATGATTGGAACACCTGAATCCAATACTTTTGGCAAGTGTGTGTGTGTGTACACACACATTAAAACTACCAATAACATAGCAATACCAAGTTTTGTGTAAATCAATAATGAATATACACTCGTACTATACCTTCTCTCAGACTGAGTGCTGTACAGGAACTACAGAAGGCTAGTAGCAAATTTAGATATTACACTGTTTGCATTTAAAAAATAAAACCACATTAATAATTTATTAATGACTCTGAAGCTGCATTCATCCGTGTCTGTCAGCTTGCAAAAAATTTTAGTGCAACCTACATTTGTGTAAAGTACAGTAGTGATGTCATCTCTATCTAGCGGCCAACACACAAAGTACTTAGTTCAATGTTATCTCACTAGAGTGCGCACGAAAAACCTGCAAAAGGGGCCTGGGTTGCAATGGACTAGGGGCCTCCCCCTCAGAGGTGAATCTGACACTGCCAGTGAGATCAATATCTCACAAGTTTGCCCTCTTGTAATGGGCCTGAGGGTGTTTTTGAGCGGTTTCGAGCACCCAGACCTGCTGAAAAGTGCAGTGACATCATTTTTTTTCACACAAATAAAGTTTTCTTTTGGTGGTATTCGATCACCACTGGGTATTTTTATTTTTGAAAAAAAATATTTGTTACTTTCTGCTATAAAGCAACCAATAAAAGCATTACAAAAAAAAAATTAATTTCTTTATAAGTTTAGGCCAAAATGTATTCTGCTACATGTCCTTGGTAAATAAAACAAATCCCAATCAGTGAATATTGGTTTGTGTGAAAGTTATGGTGTTTACAAACCACGGTATATATACTGGAATTTACACAGCTATAGACACTATAAAGGTAATGGCTGTGATCAGCAACTTATAGTGAGAATGTGATAGTGTGGCGGGAAATGTAGTGCTAGTTGACGCTGGCTGGGAGAGACACTAACTGACACTGACATCAATAGTGGCACTAATACAGTGATCAGTGCAAATACTGTACACTGTTATTGTACTAATGACACTGGCTTGGTAAGGGTTACCATCTAGGAGTTAATTGTGTGCCTAACAATGTGTAATGTGTGTAATATGTGCTGCCTATACTATATTTTATGGCTGTTTATTCTCTCTGCTTTGCATGGAGAATAAACAGCCAGATTGCTGCTCAGCATTGGCTGAAATCAGCTGCCAAACTTGCGCTATGTCTTATCACAGCATGTGTGCGCACCCCAGACCTGGAAGTTCAGGTCACAATGTATGAGAACGTTGCCTGGCCTGCTTGTACTGCCCACCTTCAGTATATGTGCTGCAGGCAGGCAGCAAATGGTTAATAAAGAGAATATGATTCTTACTGGTTTTTATCCAGAAGTCTCTCCAGAACATTCAAAAGGAGACCAAGGCCTTCATGTCTGAATTTGCTGACCCAGCTGTACAGCAAGAGAAGAAAATAAAAAGTGTTACTGCAAGCTTTGCTTTGGCTATGAAAAATGAAGATCGTTCCACCAGTTACTTTAGAATAAATGGTCATCTCTTTGAGTCTATAATGAAGGTTTCAAATTGCAGTTTTTAAATAATGCCGAACAGCAGTCAGTCAGCACAAAGTGGCAAGATGAAACAATGCTGCAGACAGAATTTCCTTCATTAAATCTACTGACTTATACTGCAATGCATGCTCACTGGACTCGTGCTCACTATATGGCTTGTGGACACCTGACCATCTCTCCTAATCAGCTTGTTATCCATTCAATTCCAAAACCATAGGCAGTGACCTGTAGTTGCCTGTATAACATCCTCCAACTTCCAGGAAGACTTTACACAAGACTGTGGAGGGTGTCTGTGAGAAATTGTCCCATTTGTGAGGTCAGGTACTGGTGATGGATGAGAAGACCTAGTTCACATGTTGGGCCTCATATTAGGCACCAGAAAAAAAGACCTGGCTCGCCATTAGCATTCCAATTCACCCTGAAAGTGTTCAGTAGGGTTGAGGTCAGGGCTCTCTGCAGGACACTCCAGTTCCTGCACACCAAACTGGTCATTCATGTCTTTGTGGAGCTGGCTTTGTACACAGTGGACAGTCATGGGGGAACAGAAAAGGGTCTTCACCAAACTGTTACCAAAACTTTGGAAGAATATGATTGTCTCCAATGTCTTTGTATGATGGAGTATTACTGGGACCCTTAACCCAAATTCCATCAATGGGGGGGGGGGGGGGGGGGGGGTTCATACACTTTTCTCCACAGTGCAGGGATGGCAAACTCAATTACATCACTGGCCGTATCATCTTGAACCACTTCAACTCCAGAAGGTTTTACCCTCTTTACGACCAGGCTATTTTTTGCTATTTAGCACTGCGCTACTTTAATTGGCAATTGTGCAGTCATGCAATGATATACACAAATGAAATTTATATCATTTTTTTTCACACAAATAGAGCTTTTTTATGGTATTTAATCACCACTGGGGTTTTTAGTTTTTGCTATATAAATGAAAAAAGACTCAACATTTTGGTTAAAATTTTTTTTTTACTTTCTGTTATAAAAGATATCCAATAAAAATTAAAAAACAAAATCTAATTTCTTCATAAATGTAGGCCAAAATGTATGCTGCTACATTTCTTTGGTACAAAAATATCCCAATAAGTGTATACTGATTTGTTTCGTGAAAGTTATAGCGTCTACAGTGGATGGGATATACAGTTGTACCTTGGTTTACGAATGCCTTGGTTAATGCAATTTTCAGTTTACGAATGGAAATCCATTGAAAGTAATGCCTCGGTTTACAAATTTTTTTGCAATACAAAGTGTATGTGGGTGCTGATTTTTAAATGCAATTGCCAGCTTTTTTTTTCTTCACTACAGCTCACAGGATTAGTTGTCACTTTCTCCAGAGTTAAAGGAAACTTTGTTTCCTTTAAGAAACTAAAAGGAAACATTGTTTCTTTTAACTTGGGGAAATAAACTACAAGAAATCTTTCTCTTTTTTAGCTGGGGGGAAAGTGATAGCTGAATTTCTGAGCTATAGTGAAGGGAAAAAAAAGCGATAATTACATTTAAAAACCGGCACCATAATAAATACAAAAATGACATGTGGTCCCCCCTCCCATCCATACCAAGCCCTTTAGGTCTGGTATGGATTTTGAGGGGAACTCCCATGCCGAAATTAAAAAAAAAAAAAGGCGTTGGGGTCTCCCCAAAATCCATACCAGACCCTTATTCGAGCATGCAGCCTGGCAGGTCAGGAAAGGGGGGAATCAGCAAGCGGTTCCCCCTCCTGAACCATACCAGGCCACATGCCCTCAACATGGTGGGGTGCTTTGGGGCAGCTCACCCCACCCAAGCACCTTGTCCCCATGCTGATGGGGACAAGGTCCTCTTCCTCACAACACTTTTCCTAACGTTGATGAATATCCTCCACCCTTAATTCACAGATTGATTGCAGAGTGATGGAAGAAAAATCCGATATTTAGTTACTGTGGGGTCTTGGAAGAGGACCTGTCATCAGTTATTTTTTCACAGAGTGCCAGAACACATCTGGGTCACATTTACACATCCATGTCACATAGAACACTCATATCGTGCGTTTTCGCTTGACACATATAGGGCCAGTCCATTTCTTTGAATGGGCTGACCTACGCATGACAAAATGCATCAAAGAAAATCCTGCCCCTTTTTGGGGATTGATTCATCTTTGCTGACTGTGTTTTTGGGGTGCCGTTAGCAATAAACAGCGACATGTGTTTTCTATGACTGAGATCTGGACTCATTGCTGTCCAGTTCAGTACTCTCCAGTGCTTTGAGACCATTTTGGGGGCTTTTTGACGTATGCTTTGGGTTATTGTCCTGCTGTAAGACCCATGACCTCTGACGGAGACCCAACTATCTGACACTGGGCTTTACACTGAACCCAAGAATTATTTGGTAGTTTTCAGATTTCATAATGTCATGCACACGGTCAAGATATCCAGTGCCTGAAGCAGCAAGGCAATTCCAAAACATCAGTGAACCTCAACCATGTTTGACTGTGGGGACTGTATTCTTTTCCTTTAAAGGCCTCATTTCTTTTTCTGAAAACAGTAGAAAAGCTGTAATTTAGTTTCGTCTGTCCAGAGCACATTTTCTCAAAAGGATTTAGGCTTCCTCAGGTAAGTTTTGGCAAACTCCAATCTGGCTTTTTTTATGTTTCTTTATTAGCAGTGCCATCCTCCTGGTCTCCTACCATAGCACCCCTTTTCATTCAGATGGCAATGTATAGTGCGAGCTGACACAGTTGTACCCTGTGCCTGAAGGTCAGCTTGAATTTGTCTGGAAGTTGATGTAGGTTCTTTATCCACCATTCGAACAATCCTTCATTGCAATCTTTGATCATTTTTTCTCTTTTGTGCACGTCCAAGGAGATTAGCTACAGTGCCATGGGCTGTAAAGTTCTTGACAATGTTGCGCACAGTGGACACAGGAAAATTAAGATCTCTGGAGATGGACTTGTAACCTTGAGATTGTCCAAGATTTTCCACAATATGTGTTCTCAAAGCCTCAGACAATTCTTTGCTGCTCTTTCTCTTCACCATGCTCCATGTGGCACACAGAGACACACCACAAAAGTTGGAGTCCATTTTTCACCATTTTATCTGGTTGCCGGTGTGATTTCTATATTGTCTGTTAAATGATAATGGTGAGTTTAATTACAAATTACAGGAGCATCACAAACATGGAATGCAATTATTTCTTACAATTTTGAGAAGGTGCCAATAATTTTATCTAGTCCATTTGTGCGGTTTTGTGTGGAAAGTGTCAGATTTGGCTTTTTGTTTCTCCACTTTTTTGTGTCATACCAATACAAACAAAATGTATGTGTAAAATGTGTACATATCGGCTTGATGTTATAACCACTTGAAGACCAGCCCATTGTAGCTTTACTGCTACAGGGTGGCCCTCCTGTGCAAAATCATGTATATATACGTGATTTTTGCACTTCTTCTACACGGGGGTATGTGACTGCCGCCGGCAGATCGCTTCTGCTGTGAACTATCACAGCAGAGGCCGATCTGCAAGTTC